AAAAAAAAAAAAAAAAAAAAAAAAAAAAAAAAAAAAAAAAAAAAAAAAAAAAATTAGCCAGGCAGGTTGTGGGTGCCTGTAATCCCAGCTACTCGGGAGGCTGAGGCTGGAGAATCACTTCAACCCAGGAGGTGGAGGTCACAGTGAGCCGAGATCGCGCTGTTGCACTCCAGCCTGGGTGACAAGAGTGAAAACTCCATCTCAAAAAAAAAAATAAAAAATAGAAAAGAAGTCTGAAGTTTCATTGAGCTGTGATGGTGCCACTGCACTCCAGCCTGGACAACAGAACAAGACCCTGTCTATTTAAGGGAAACAAGAACGAGCAGGGTATCAGGCCCTTACTTAAGTATTCCACAAAGGTCAGCTATAATGGCCATTTTTGCCATTGTTCTCATGCCCTTGCAGGTATGAGCCAGAGCGAGACGAGTGGCACTTGGTGGCCCCAATGCTGACACGAAGGATCGGGGTGGGCGTGGCCGTCCTGAATCGTCTGCTTTACGCCGTCGGGGGATTTGATGGGACAAACCGCCTTAATTCAGCTGAGTGCTACTACCTAGAGAGGAACGAGTGGCGAATGATCACACCCATGAACACCATCCGGAGCGGGGCAGGTGCGTGAGGACGGCAGGGAGGAGAGCGTCCAGAAACACCACCCCCTCATCATCCTGGGTTGAAACTGAGCCAGTCCTGGGAGAGACCCCCTGTTGTCACCCTCACCCTGGGGTACCCACAGACGCACTGGATTCTGATGGAGTCCAAGCTTCTCTCTCTCTCCCCACTTCATTTCTGAGGGTGAGAAGGTAGAGGAGAGAGGAAAAGTCTCCCTCAAGGAGGTGATGGCTGGGGTTCCCGAAGCCAGATCCCAGAATCACCTTCTGTGCACGGTGTCCTTTAGGCGTCTGCGTCCTGCACAACTGTATCTATGCTGCCGGGGGCTACGATGGTCAGGATCAGCTGAACAGTGTGGAGCGGTATGACGTGGAAACAGAGATGTGGACATTCGTAGCCCCCATGAAGCACCGGCGAAGTGCCCTGGGAATCACTGTGCACCAGGGGAGAATCTACGTCCTTGGTGAGGCCCTGGGGGCGGGGAAGAGTCCTGACTAGCCTCATCTCTTGTGGACAGGTGGCTGCTTTTGCTTTACTTTTCTTTTTTTTTTTTCTTTCTTTTTTTTTTTTTTTTTT